AGAGAGAGAGAGAGAGAGAGAGAGAGAGAGAGAGAGAGAGAGAGAGAGAGAGAGAGAGAGAGCCCAATCGAACTAACTACGTGTGCCCCCTTGCCCCCCCCCCAGGATCGTAGAATTGCATATCCCCCGACATCTGAGAAATAATATTTTTGGTTAGCGAGAGACAGGTATGCAAAGTGTGACGCACACACAATAGGTGAGTTCAAATCCGAACAACCACCAACCCAGCAAACCACTACTGAAAGGATTGCAAACTGTGATCGGTGTTTGACAGGACAAAAAAACAAAAAAAAATGAAAAAAAAAATATATCCAAGGCTTACAAAGCAGCATCAGCATTCCATAGGCAGTGTCAACAACAATGCACATGTGAGCCTAAAGACCACCCCGACCCCACCCAAACCCACACCCGACCAAGAAACCCCTACCCACCCTCATTTGCATCCTTTTCCCTTCATTTTCTTGCGGGCGAAGCTGCAACAGATACCCGTGTCCTGAGTAGGAACTGTACCTGGAGTCGGGAGTGTACTTTGGGCAGGGATCACATCGTGTTGTATTGGTGCGTCGTGAATATCTAACGCCGCAGGGTATAAAACATGGTGCCGTGGTTGCCTGTAGGCAGGTGAACTGTCTGCAGGAGGCATAAGAGCGGATATTGCTGTTTGAAACAAGGAACCCCAACAACATGTGGAGGAGGCACAAAGAGAATCGGGGCAGACAAAGAAATAGGTTCTGATTTCGATAAGTGACGAGGCGGCGGATGTCGTCGGTGATACACAACAAGAGGAGTAGTGGTGTTGCAAATAGAAGATAAACTTGTCCCTAGCAACGAAGGTGGAACAATGGGAACAATGGAAACTAGAGAGTATGTTCACAAGCGAGGCCGTGGAGGAGATGGGGGTGGTGAGAAGGAATGCAGCCGTCTGCGGCCAAGCTCAGAAAGAGATGAGAGGGGGGTGGATTGGGAAAGATTTCCGATTAAAGGACGACACTCTTTCCGACTAAAGGACGCGAGTGTCGGAGAGATTGTGATGTTCTTTGCA